CGCAGGCGCGACGCTGGGCACGGGCAGGCCGGGACGGACTCGGGGGCCGGGGCGCGCCCCTCCGCGGGAGGAAGCGGGCGGGTCTGTCAGGGCGAGCGGGTGTCACGGAAGCCTGGGGGCCCTCCGTGGAGTTCGTGGGTACGAACGTCCCTTTGGGAAACGTCATGAAATGTGGACCCATGTTCTAAGGCAAATTTTTAAAATTTTGTGTATTAAAAATATAGACCCGATGTCATCCACATGGGACCCACGTAATTTGGGGCCCGTCTCCCCATAAAAGTTCGAGGGGTGTGGCTTTGAGGCGAGAATGCAGAATGGGCACCTTCGTATCGAAAGCCACTTGCTAACTGTCCCTCACACATCGGGGCGCCACAACGTGATTCTCTGCGCGGAAAACATGCCCTTTGAGTCAGCCCCACCTCCTGGCCGCGGTGATAAGCCCGAAGGATTTCCGTGCCCCCAGCCCACGTGGAATGGGGCTCTTAAGGGGCCCGCCTCCCTCTGTGCCCCCCAGTCGGAGCAGAGCGGCCGGGCGAGCACTGGGCGCCAAGCGCCGGGACGTGGGCAGCGCCTGTTGGCCGCGGCTCCGCGCTGGCGAGCTGTGGGGCTTGCTTGAGTTGAGCAGCCTCGTCTTCGTAAAATGTCATTGCAGAGGGCAGGGGGAGGCTGGAAGCGGAAAGGCGCAGAGCACCAGGGGCTCGGGCATCCTGAGGCCGCTGCTGGTTTGGGGGCCAGCTCCTTCTGGTCTTTGTGCGCAGGTACTTCCCGAAGCCTGCCCTGTTTGTTGTGGTTAGATAGGGCGATCTGATGAACAGACACTAAAGCACTAAGCCTATCACTGGGTAACTTTTGGCTCACAGTTTTTGGCAGTTTTGCATATTTCACACCTCACCTGGCATGCTCGGGCTGCCTGCGCTGTCGGTTCAGATGGGCCTCGGTTACACATGCCCCAGCTCCACGCAAAGCTCAGCAGCGCTGTTAGCCCATTTTGCAGACTCAGCACTGAGCAGTGCCAGAGGTACCGCCTCTGCCAAACACCAGGTGTGGGCGCTGCCGTCTCTCCTGTGCCCCATTGTCCCTCCACAGTTGAGCTCCTAAGGACTGAGTGAACTGGTTCCCCTGATGGTCGTGGTCACCTGTTGGGGTCTGTCGCTAGAACCAATAGAGCAGGAGCGAGAACAGCCAGTTGCCCCTGCCTACGCCCTGTTTCTGCCCTCCCCACCCCTTTATTTATTCACCCCTCCCCAGGTTCAGATCCCACAAACCTCAAACACCAGTCTGTCTGCCCACTCAGAGTGAGTGACACCAGCCACCCTTAAAATGTGGCTGGTCCAAGCCAGGATGTGCCGGGAAGACTTAGTATCTTGTTCTTTTAAAGGCAGAGTATCTCTTCAGCGTTTTCTACTTAGATTCATTAGCCTTTGAAGTTCTCTCGGGCGGCAGCTTTGGGTTAAGCAGAATATACTGTTAATATCAATGTTCCTATTTCCTTTTTACTTTTCAGTCTAGATACCACACACTGGAAATTTACACATGCAGCACAGGTTATACTTCTAGCCTCTTTTGTGGTGTCGATTCTTTCCACAAAATATATCTCCAATTCCTGCTTTCATCATTTTGCACTTCCTGTTTGTGGGTTTAGTTATTTCTTAAATGGGCTCCCCAAGAATTTAGCCTAATGCTTGGTGAATGGTGATTGGTGAATTCATGTTGCCTATTGTATTTCTCACAGTCTATTGTTCACAGCAAATTGAGACTCACAGCATAATTAAGGGAAGGGACAGGGGATTCCCACCACGCCCCATCCCACCACTGCCCGTCTTTCCCACTAGCAGGGTCCCCCACCAGATTGCACATTTGTTACAAGGATGACTTCTGTGGGCACAGAAGTCACAGAATTACCCAGAATTCATGATTGGCTTTAGGGGTTACTCTTGATGTTGGATGAATACAGTACATATTCATCAAGCTTCCTTGCCCTAAAAATACTGTGCCCCACAAATTCACCAACTCCTCCCCCACTGATCTTTGTACTGTCTTCCCCCTGCCCACCTTTTCCAGAATGTCCTTTCCACTCGTAACCCTCTCAGACTGTCTTCTCAGTAGTAACCATTTCAGTTCCTCTTGTCTCGAAGCTGGATAGTTTACTTTCAGTTTGAACCTAAAGGAATCTGCCTATCGGCCGCATCTTTCACAAACCCAGGCACTGTTCTCCCATAACAAACCTCCCTAATAGCTCACAACCCAAATTTTAGAAGTTTTTTACTCTCTGGCTTAGCAAAAGCAAAGCGGTTATTTTAGTCCCCCAGAGGCTTGGGGAAAGTTCTTGAACTTTTTCAGTGATCCCTATTCTCAGCACATTTAAGGCTCTCAGTTTCACATGTGAAAGTGCCTCTAAGCTGAGGTCTGGAATGTCAGCCCTTAATCACCCTTCCGGGAACTCGTCTCCCATCCCCAGTGCTTCACAAGATGGAGGTTTCACAAAAATTCCCCAGGCAGCTGACTTGGAACTTGGGTTTTCACTGAGAGAAGTTTTAGACATGCCCCAGCTGGTGTTTCTGATTTCCTGGAATTTTGAGGTTCAGATTGCTTAAGCAGAAAAGGGAGTCTGACTTCAGAAACCAATTTTGGAAAAAGACACTCACTCCTGTGCTTCCTGAAACCCAGGAGATATTTGGGGCTGGTCTGGGAAGGGACTAGAGGGTGCTATACCCTGGGTGCTATACCCTCGGTGCTATATTCTGGGTGCTATAGGGTATGGAGCAGGTTCCCTGGCTCCCACCCACTCAGTACTAGAGCACCCCAGTATAGTAACCACCAGTGTCTCCAGATACAGCCCAGTGTCCCCTGGAGCAGTATCCCTGGTAAGTCCCACAGCTGAAACCGAAAGTAACTGGTTGCTCTTCACAGTACCCTGGAAAGAATGGGGTGCTGGAGCAGGCTGACCACAGTGGCTGTCTCCCCTCCCCTCTTCACTGGGATCAGTCAGGTCCACACCCTGAGGATGCAGTAGTAACAGGAAGCGGGGTGTTCCTGCACAGCAAGGGGGGTGTCTGCAGGCCTGGGGTCCAGGCACATTTCTTGTGTCAGTTAAACATGTCACAGCATCCCCTGAAAGTTTGGACTGAGTCACCCTTAGCAGAAAGGGGGTTTTCTCAAGTAGCCATAGCAGCCACTGGTGACCTCTCCTCTCTGAGGTAAGCTGAGACCGAAGTAGCCCACTGGGAGTTCCTTGCTAGGATGTAGAATTATCTGCTGGTTGGTTCACAGCAGCCAGGGCCTGTCTTGTCATGTGGGTGCCAGTGTTGGCTGGGGGCTCCGAGGTCCAGTGCCAGCCTCGGTGGCCCCAGCGGCTCCTCCTCGCTGCCTGCTGAGCTAGCCACAGCCTTCACATCCCCAGACTGTGGCTGTGTCACCTCGTCTCTGTCTCTCTCGTCACTCAACTACTTCCCTGTGTGCTTTAGTCCCAGTCACCGTCCTTATAAGGACACCAGGCACTGCATCAGGGCCACCGGCCTCCAGGGTGACCCCACTGTAACTAATCACATCTGCAAAGACCCCATTTCCAAACCAGTTAGCTCATAGTCCCGGATAGCAGGGGCCAGGACTTGATATATTTTGGGGGGACATGAATGAACCCACTACAGGGCTTGCGAGTGGCAAGTGACGGCGGTTGGGCGTGATGAGAATGTTGTGGAATTCAAGGTGATGGTGCTGTATGCTGTCAGTTTACTAGAAGGCTCAAATTTACTGAGAGGCTCCTCAGGAGAGCTGGAGTGTAAAAGCGCCTGTTGGGGCCGAGCCTGGCTGGCTTCTCCCTTCTCCCACCGTGCAGGTCAGAGAGCCTTGCCCAGAAAACAGAGATGTGAGTGCAGACAACAGCAGAGACCTCAGGCGGAGCCACCTCCACGTGAACACCGCACCCTGGCCGCAGCCTCCCCAGGGAGCGGCGAGACCACTAGAAACAAGAATCTTCAAGTGGGCGGCAGCTCCACAGCCCCCTCTAGCAGGACAGACCCTGGGCCAGAGCAGTTTGCACACCGACCAGGAACACAGGGGGTCCACGTGAGGTTGGGGCGTGCCCCCCAGCCCCCCACTCTGAGCGGCAGGATGTGGAGGCTCCGGAAGGAAGTGGCAGTGGGGCGGCAGTGGGGCGGGAGCTGGGCTGCACCCCAGCAGGGAAGGTCATGCAAGTCAGGCCCTTGCTGAGAGGAACTATGTTCTGTTTGTTTCAGGGGAGGGTGGGGTGGGAGGAAGGGTGTGTGTGGTGGGGCAGGGGAATTTGTCACCTGTTGTCAGTTGAGAAGTTTCTAAGCACCACCACACACATCTCATCTTCAGGAGCCAGGAGCAGCCTGCCCACCTCCTTCCCGGCGGCCCTTGGAGCCCAAAGGACGAACCCACAGGCAGCACCAGGACACGGGGGCCTCCTGCTGCTCTCAGCCTGAACAGGTATTTGTTCTTGACAGAGAACTTTGCTTCTGACGGAAACTAGCCTTACTTCCATTTAAACTGTGTGTGTCCTCCCACTCTCTGAGATAAGGAGGCAGCTGAACCGTTCAAAACCCTTCTAGAACCCCGCCACACCTTCTAGAACCAGTCTGGCCCAGGGGCCACAGGGGTGCAGACAAGATGGTCAGCTGCCTGGAGGGGCCATCTTCTTGTCCCTGAAGGGTTGTCACTTCAGGTGACTTTCTTGGAGGTTAAAGTCCCAAAACCACCACCAGAGAGTGGTGGTGGTAAGGTAAACAGAAGGCAGTGTAGATACTCCTGTGTCTCCTCGGTACTGTGATCCCCAGCGGCTGTGGCTTGGCTTGAAGGAAGCCACGCATCTGGGCCTCGGAGTAAGGTGGGACGTGGAAACCACCGGTGAACTTGCCATCAGGCCAGCGAGCCTGGGGTTTCCATGGCGCACCTACTGGGTTGTCATGACTGGGGTGTTCCTGGCATGGAGTGGGGACGCTGCTCAGCCCCCAAGTGACCCAGCCCCGCACCGGCAGTGCTCAGGGGGAGACACGGCCTGGGGCCCGGAACTTCGCATCTGTGAACTTCGCACCGTAAATGGCGCAGGATGTCGACTGAGGTGACAGGAAGCATTGACATAAGCCAGGACCCCGTGATCAGCTCTAGGGCAGGAAGTGATGGCACTCTGCTCTGGCGACGCCAGTGTCCTCGCCTCCGCATAGTGCCAGAGCTGTGTCACCTGAGGCCCTGAGAGCAGTGCCAGGCCAGATGGCCACTGTGTCCACACAGCCACCGCAGGGCTGCACAGGGCCCTCGCAGCCCCACCCCGCCACACCCGGAGCATGTGTTCTGCTTCCTTATGGCTAAACTTCTCTTGGGTGTGGCACAGGGTGAGCCATTCTTGGGGGGCGGAGGGCACACCAGGCCCTGTGATGTGACGGGGAAGCCATGGTCAGAATGGTTATGGCCCTGAGCTCCTATATGCTGGAAAAGGTGGGAGCTGTGCTCCCTCCAGCCCAGAGCGCCAGCCCTGAGACCATGTCAGACTTGAGCCTCTGGACTCCCAATAATACAGCTAGACTATTTTAGCCACTAGACTGCTGGTATAGCAGCACGAGAGACTCACACCCGGGTTAGGTCTGTGGGGTGGGCTCCAGGCAAGACCCTCTAGTCAAAAGTCAAGCCAGTGAATTCCAGCAATTTAAGCAAAAATATTTGCGGGGGATGGGGGAGGGCCGTGGGGGTTGGGGGAGGGACGCAGAGGTTATGTCAAACCCAGACGGTCATTTATTAGACGTGGGTTCCTGTCATGGTGCCGGGTCGGGGCACTCATGGCCGTCTGCTCCTACTTCCTCCTGAAAGGGCTCCGCTCCCCTCGCTGCTTCTCGGAGAACCGTCCCCCATAACAGAGGAAGAGGCGGAGCCCAGAGGAGCAGGTGGGAGGACAAGGCAGCCATTCTCTGCTAGGCCCAGACAAGGCTTCTCTTAATGGCCTGCCGGCGTGGATGCTGCCCCCACGCAGTGCACACACCCCCTTTGGAAGGAGGGTCTTTTATCCTTGCATCAGGATGGGAAAATGAGGTCACACTGCATTTGAGGGGGGCCAAGCCTAGTGCTTGAGGTTTCCTGCAGACAAGACACGTAGGGGAAAGCACAGCCTCACCCTGCCCAGCCCTGGCAGCCAGAGGACCAAAGCCAGGCGGCTCCTCCTGGGCCCCTAGGGTGCTCTTTGGGGTCTCCTGGACTGGTAGCATCAGCCTTCTTTGGTCCCTCGGCTTGTCTGTGTCTTCTACCAGGGTGTCTGTTCCTCGCTGGGTGGTTAAGGGCCCACCCAGGAAATACAGGACGAGCACCCCCAAGAGCCTTCACTCGATCACATCTGCAAAGACCCGTTTTCCAAATGAGGCCCAGTTCTTGGGTGCAGGGAGTGGCAGCTCTCTGTAGCCCCTCACCCTGAGCGTGTTCCCGAGCGCCCTCCCCCGGTGACAGGGCCCTCTGAGGCAGGCGTCACACCTTCTGGCTGTCCAGGACGCGCCTCATCAACTTCTGTTGGGAGGCGGCCGGGTGAGCCGCGGGGCAGAGCTGGCCACGGAGGAGCCAGCTCCTTTGGCTCAGACTCCTTAAGCCACCCGCCCTGGGAAGCCTGCTGGCCTGCTCATGCTTCCAGAAAGCTCACGCTCACCTCGCTCTGTATTCCCAGTGCTCGGGAGCCGTCGGGCCGCGACGTCCCGGTGGCCCTGACTCCTGCGTCCTCGGGGACTCCTGCGGCTCCGCAGGGGCACGTGGGGGGCAGGCCGCACCATGTCCAACCCCTTCCTGAAGCAAGTCTTCAACAAGGACAAGACCTTCCGCCCCAAGCGCAAGTTCGAGCCGGGCACCCAGCGCTTTGAGCTGCACAAAAAGGCACAGGCCTCGCTGAACGCGGGGCTGGACCTGAAACTGGCCGTGCAGCTGCCCGCCGGGGAGGAGCTCAACGACTGGGTGGCCGTGCACGTGGTGGACTTCTTCAACCGCGTCAACCTCATCTACGGCACCATCAGCGACGGCTGCACCGAGCAGTCCTGCCCCATCATGTCAGGCGGCCCCAAGTACGAGTACCGCTGGCAGGACGAGCACCGCTTCCGAAAGCCCACGGCCCTGTCTGCCCCGCGCTACATGGACCTGCTCATGGACTGGATCGAGGTGCAGATCAACAACGAGGACATCTTCCCCACCAGCGTCGGTGAGTTAGGGCAGGCGGGAGCCACCAGCAGGGTCTGAACCAGACCGCAGAGCTCCGCAGGCTGCCGACCCTGGGCTCTGCTCTGCCATCCCCGTGCGGGACTGTGCGGGCCTGGGCCATGCCTGCCAGCCCTGTTTGGAAACCCCATGGGCACCCGAAATTTTTCAAGGCCCCCCAGTCTGTTTCCACACCCAGCCAGGCAGGCGGAAAGAAAGTCTTCCCCCGGGGTGTGCCTCTGCTGCTGGACCCCCGCCCTTGATTCCCAGAACCTGCGGGTGCTCCTTGGGTTTGTGGCTGAGCTCAGAATAGGAGAGGCCAGGTTTACTCCGGCTTCCTTCCCAGGGACAGTCACACCTGGACAGCCAACGTGGCCCCAAGGCCCCAGGCCTGTGCTCCGCTGAGCAGTGGCTTTCAATAGATCTGCCTGTTCTGCTCCTCACTCTCTGACGAATACTTTCACCCCCTGCACTTCTGGCCTGTATAGTTCTTCTCTGCAAAATAAATAAAACATTCAATAAAATTTTTCTCTACAGAAGCAGTCAGGGCTGGGTTGGCACTCCCGGTGTGGCAGTATCGCTACAGCTGTGGATAGTGAAGGCCTGGAAGATGCAATTCCTAAGCCGGTCTCCTAGGCTGAGCTGCTCTAAATCTGTCCTCCAGCAGCCCACCCCAGAGGAGAGCTGAGGGGCTTCAGCTTCAAGCCTGGGGCCCCTGGAACAGGGTGCCTGACCACCATCCAGGCCCTCAGTGCTTGGAGAGCCCCACCCTCAAGGCGCCTGTGGCGATGTGGCTCTCTGCACTTCCCAGCGCAGCACTGGCTCAGGTCGTCTCTCCAGGAAGGAGAGATGCCTTCCACTTTTTTTCTCCTGTCAGTGAGATCTCAGTGATGCGAGTGAACCTTTCACAGGATCAGTCCCCAGGAGCCTGGGGACCCACTCGCCTATCTCACCAAAACACTCACGGGCAGAAATACTAAAGTGGGCGGAACGAGGAGGGAGCAGCATCTTCGGGCTGCTCGGCCATCTCAGTGCGGTGCCTGCACCACTGACTCTGGTGCGCCCCGCTGGGCCACGAGCGTGGAGGTCCCTCTCCATCCAGGCCTGGGCCCCACCAGGGAGCCTGGCTGGACGGGGCAAACCTGCAGCCCTGCCCCTGGCCCAGGGGCGTGCAGAGAAGCTGAGGGCCCAGTGGGCCTGGAGAGAGCGGGCAGGCCCACGAGCGAAGGGGCCTGGCACTGCGAGAGGGTGGCTCTCATGGCCCCGTGTCTTTTAGCACAGTGCGAAAATGAAATAAAAAATATTAAATTTAGTAACAGGAGATAAGCCCGCTACAGTTGGAGGTGCACATCCCGGGCCAGCCACGCTGTGCGACACTCAGTGGGGAGAGGGACAGTCAGCGAAAGCTGCCGAACCCCAAAAGATCAGTTTGTGGGTTGTGTCACTCGCTGAAGAAACGTAAGCCCAAGCGAAGTATGCGGTACGCTGAGGTCTGAGGGCCAGAGGGCCCACGGGAGCAGGCCCTGGGGGCCTGCCCGGGGCATGGCCTTGCCCGGAGGGTCGGCCCGGCAAGAAGAGGGGTGCTCCTTGCTGGGCCCAGGCCAGGTGCCACAATGAGCAAGGCTCGTGGCCTCTGACACGCCACCACCAGGCCCGACGAGCACCCCCGGGACTGTGGGCTGGGCGGGCGCAGAGCCCGGGGGTGTCGGCCGCAGCCCTGACTGGCCTGGCCTCCCTCCAGGCACGCCGTTCCCCAAGAACTTCCTGCAGGTGGTGAGGAAGATCCTGTCGCGGCTGTTCCGGGTGTTCGTGCACGTCTACATCCACCACTTTGACCGCATCGCCCAGATGGGCTCTGAGGCCCACGTCAACACCTGCTATAAGCACTTCTTCTACTTCGTCAAGGAGTTCGGCCTCATCGACACCAAGGAGCTGGAGCCACTGGTGAGGGCGGGCGGTGCCAGGGCCCAGGCTGCGGCCTGCCCCGCGGCTCTGCAGTTCGGACTTGGCAGTGGAGCAGACTGCCGTTCTTCAGATTTGGCCCTGATGTGTCAGGGGGTGGCCCTGGCGCAGCCCGAGTGCAGCAGTGCCTGGTTTCCAGGGCCTGGCACTCAGAACCCACCCACTAGGGTCGCTTTTGGTTCCTTTTGCTCACTACGCCTGCTGGTAGGCAGGACTCTACCCCCAGTGTGAGTACCCTGAACCCCACCAAAAAGGAGAGGCCTCTGAATCTGGGCCTACATGCCCCTGAGACCAAGGGGGTCACCCCACTCCCTGTAGGGGTGGGGCATTCCTTCCAATATGCTCATTGTACACAAATCTCGATGTGTTCTTTATAAAATGCTAAAATTTGCCGTGTAATCATGTTTTCTGCCATCGCTGTGAGTACCTTCCTGCCTCAGTTTTCTTGTATTTATTACTCATCCATTGAGGACAGGTATCCAAACTTAGGTCTAAAGGTGATGTTTTGGGTCCTCACCTCTATTTCCAGAAGACTTCCCAGAAGTTTCCTCTGGCATCTGAGCAAGTGTACAAAGTGGGATCAGGCTGCCCACCTGGTTTGTAAATAAAGGCTTATTGGCAAAGACACAATCTGGGGTTTTCACCTGAGGGCAGACTTGAACCCCCCAAAGCTGAAACATTGCTTGTCTGGGTCACAGTCATGTGAACATCACACCCCACTTTACATGGGGTGATGTCGATCACCCTCCTTGTTGATGCTGATGTCCTGCTTCCTCTCAACAGAAAGAAATGACCTCACGGATGTGCCACTGAGAGCCCCTCACCATGTTGCCACAGCAGCCAGCGACACCCAGCCCGGGCCTGCTCTTCTGTCAAAGCACCTGGCGAACTCCGCATCTTGCTGCTGAGATGCTCCCCAAGCGGCCCCAGGCCTGCTGTGAGCCCCGCGCCTAGAGGGGAGGGGGGAGATGATGAGCTCAAACTGCAATTCTGTATTGGCCTCCACAGGGAAAACCTGCTTTGTGTTTACACCATTTGCTTTGCCCCCACCTGGCCGCGCCCCTGCAGCAAGGGCCCCCAGCACTGAGTGCTGACTCTGCCAGGCCTGGGGCCGGGTCCTCCAGGCCAGCCTCTCTCCTGAGAGGTACGATTCCCACCCCACGCTGTCCCCTCCCTCGCATCTTCCTAAACCCAGTTCTGCTGTCTCAGTTCCTCTAAGATGTTTTTGGCCTGTCTGTGCAGCATCCTGGACCCAGGTTTTTACATACAAAAGATTTAATCTTATAGATTTTTATAGTTTCATGTACAACTGCTTTGAGATATTAAAGAAACATTTTTTTTTACGTATACAAGGTGAGCCAATCCCCACCCCAAGAAAAGACCCCCCTTTCTGTAGTGATGACACAGGTCAGCTCTCCCACAGAGCTCCCCTCTCAGGGCTGGGCAGCTTTGCCTTCACCTAAAGGTTACTGGACTTAGCTTCTCTCCAGATGCCCGTTAACTCTCAGAGGAAGTCGGACAGGTGCCTCCCAGGGGCTGGAGGCCAAAATCCCAGAGCGCGTCCCCACAGGCCTCAAGTGGTGTGAGCAGGGCTCCCAGGCCCCTGCCCTCCATTGCCCTGCTCTAGCATCATCTGTGGCCTTTCTGACGGGGCAATGGCCACCGCCTAGGCCGGCGCGTCCCCAGCCTCCTGCAGCACTGAGTGCCGCCGCGTCGGGATGCTCTGACTGCCTGACATTGAGCAAACGCGATGAGTGTGACCTCGGCTTGGGTCCTCTGGAGCCCTTGGGTCCAGCCACCCCACCCCATGGGGAGATGGACCCCAAGGACTACAGAGAGCCGTCTGATCAAATGTAGCTCTTTTTATAATACCGGGCCATGACCCTCTGGCACCCATGGTCCCCGCCATTCCTCCAACCTGGCCTGGTTGGGGACAGTCAGGCACTGCTGGGGCAGGGTGGGTCCCCACCCCAGAACCCCTCTGCACCTGTATGTGTCTCCGCACAAACACCAGAATAAACTGTGCCAACATTATGCCCACTCACATTGGTCGTCATTTCTGGTTTTCTGACCTCTGGATATGTCCCCACCACTGTCACCAAGAAGTGAGAGAATCTTAGATGTCCTGATGTTCTGTGGCCCAGCAAAGCACCCTGAACAGAGAGCCAAATGCACAAGGTGTAGCTGGGGTTAGAGTGCAGCAGGGTGACGGCGGGGCCTTGGGGCCACCTTGCAGGCCACCACAGCAGGGAAGCCACGGTGTCCAGAAGACGCCCTTGTGACCCCCCACATCCATCGTGACGGTTACTTCCTGCGCTTGTCAGCATGACTTTACTCGTTGCCTTTTTCTGTATAAAAGTTTCCAGAAAACCTTTGACAGGAATGCATAATAGATTCAGCAATTTTTCTACTCCCACCGTCACTGACTGGCTTTCAAACACGCCATTAGCTTAATGGAAAACTTCATCGTTTCTTGTGTGGAAAATGTGATGGATCCTTACTCTGAGACCTTTTCATGTAAAATTTAATGGTTCCAGGACCAACAGAATGTGGCCTTTTGCAAAAGAGCTCTTGGCCTGTGTTCCAGGTACAAAGCTGAGCCCCCAGCTGGGCAGCCTCCGGGCCTCAGCCTCTGTGTCTTCCTGCCCCTAGAGGGCGTGCTGGCTCTGTGCACACGGAGGGGTTTTTCTTCAAAGTGAGTTCTGCCTGACCTGGACACACGCTCAAGAAGCCATTGTTGGCAAATGCACTACAGAGACTTTCAGGACCAGTTTGAAAAGTGGGAGCTTATGGGGTTTATGAGCCACCCAAGTTGTTTAGTCCCAGCTCCATCCTGGCCCTGGGGCCCACAGACATGCTGTCTTATTCGATAAAGAGATTTTGTAGAGAACACTAAATTAAGGATCCTGAAATGGGGAGGACTCTGGATTCCCAGGAGCCTAACATTCTCTCTTGGGAGGAGGGCCAGAGGAAGACAGCCACGGGAAGACGACCCTGCACTGGCCGTGAGGATGAAGTGAGGTGCAAGGCCGGGACGAGGGCTTCCAGAAACTCAAAACCTGTGCGCACCTGGGCTGAGCCCATGAGACAATGGGACACCTCACCTCCAAAGCATGAGGCGATAAACTTGGATTACTTATGCCACCAGGACAGTGCTCATTTGTTACAGCAACCACAGGAAACACTTTTTATATTTTTTAAGATTTATTTATTTCTGCATACAAGAACTGGGGTACAGGCCAGAGGTACAGGGGGTGAGGGGATTCACCAGACAGCATGGTGAGAACAGACAGACCCACTGAATAATACTGCTGAGGGAAGCAGGAGGTGGGTTAGGAGAGGTCTGCTACGCCAGGTGGGTCAGCTCCGGGGCTGGAGATGGAACTCATGCTGCAGTGGCTGCAGACAGCTTCATCGTGCTGCGCTTTAACCTGTTGCGCCAACAGGGAGGGCCCTATTTTTATTTTTTTTAAGATTTATTTATGCACACAAGGACAAGAACTGGGGTAAAAGCCTGAGGTGTGAAGTGGGGGTGTGAAGTGAGAGGATTCACCAGAGACACAGTGGGGAGCAGAACAGGCAAATGAACTGAAACACAGTGCTGAGGGGAGCAGTGGGGAGACAGGAGAGGTCTGCTGCACCATGTGGGTCAGCACCCAGGCCTGGTACCACACTCAGGCTGCAGTGGCCAGCTAGAGCCTGATAGTGCTAAGACTTAACACCTGCACCACAAGGGACACCCAGGAAAGAGAAACAAGTCTGGGGTGGGGGGGGAGAGCAAAATAAAAATCAAGATAAAAGATATTTTTGGGGCCCTCCCTAATGGTGCAACAGGTTAAAACACAACACTGGGAAGCTAGCTGCAGGGCTTCAGCGAGAGTTCGATCCCAGCCAAGGAGGTGACCCACAGCAGACCTCTCCTGTCTCCCTGCTGCTCCCCTCAGCAGTGGATTTCAGTGGATCCACCTGTTTTGCTCCTCACTCTGTCTCTGGTGAATCCACTCACCTTCTCTGCACCTCTGGCCTATACCCCAGATCTTGTTTGCATACATAAATCTTTTAAAATAAATAAATAAAATTGCACAATTTAGTGGGAAGTAGTCACAGAGCTGTAGTCATTGCCATCAAATTCTAGAACATTTTGTCACCCCTAAAAGAATATTGACCCCCATCAGCAGCCACTCCCCTCCCCAGCTCCTGACAACCACAGATCTTCTGTCTCTGTAGATTTGTCTGTTCTGGACATTTCATATCTGCACATTTCCTTTAATTCTTAGCTATTTTTGGTTGTTACTATGAGTGAGATTTTTTTCCATGATGTCTTTTTTCCACTGTACTTTCTAAATGGCTATATCTGGTTTATACTGGAAATATCTCAACTTTGTGCTTGACTACTTTACTGAAAAAATGCAGTTGATTTTCCTGCATCTCCTAAGCAGAGATTCACATTTGCAGATGATGATAACTGAATATATTCATCTTTTAGGTCCAGAATCAGTATATATTGTTTCATAATGATAGTAAAATTAAGTACAATATGTTTACACACACAGAGAAACAGTAAAGATGAATGCTTTAAACATGAGATCAGTAGCCATAAAATCCAATACATCAGTTAGGAATCTGGGCCGACTACATGAAACCCACCGCCTGTTTTTGTAAATAAAGTTTTATTGGCACATAGATGTGCTTACTTATTTGTACACTGCAATGAGATCCTTTGAAAATGTTCACTATCAACCTTTACAGAGAAAGCTGCCAGCCCCACCCCCGTGGAGAGATACTGAATAATTCTCACGGATACAAAGGACCCCACATAAGGATAAAAGCAAATGCCACGTTTTCTTCTTTTCCATGCATGCTGGAACAACTTTTGGTGACTGACACAACCCTACAGTACACTTCTTAGGGCATGTGAGTCCTGTCCCACCAAAGTTGCTATTAGAAAGGCATGGAACAGGCCAACGTTCATCAGGCAAAATTACATGGAATCCAGGCAAGCATGAGCGTGCAGGCTCTCCACACTCCAGTGACAGTGTCACTTACTTGATCAATTGTATGCACTTGATCAATTGTAATTGTGTGCATACAATTACCATTTTAGGGGGAAATGGTAATTGTTTTTTCAAGTTTCAGATGCTTATTAATCAGTGTCAATCCCAACACCATGATGCTGTGCATTTAGAGGGAAATGATTTCCTATTTGAGGGGGAAATTGTGCAGATGGCTTCTGGGAAACCATCTCAGCAGTGCTATGGTGAAATGTTTTTTGAAAGGTTTATTTATTTCTGCATGTAAGAACTGAGATGTAGGGGAACAATAATGTAAATAGATTTATAAATGAAAATTTTTAAATGTTAAAAAAAAAAAACTGGGATGTAGACCAGAGGTGCAGGGGGTGAGAGGATCCACCAGAGACAGCAGAACAGGCGGATCTACTGAGGTACACTGCCGAGGAGAGCAGAGGGGAGACAGGACAACTCGGTGGTAGTGCTGAGACTTAACCCTTAGGCCCCTGGGGTTGCACAGCACTTGCACTGACCTTCGGATGCCACACCTGCTGGCCAGCCTGAGTGGAGAAGAGTCCAGTTCCTAGACAGCACTGGAGCTGTCTTACAAATTAAGACAGTCGCCTGCCCCACCCCTCCCCTGCCCCACCCCTCCCCTCAGGCCTCATGTCCCTGGAGGGGGGTTCTTCCTGGAAGACCCCTGGAAAACTGCCAGGAAACAGCTGTGGCCACAAAGCCCAGAGCTGCGAGGAGACACCCCACCTGCTGCCAGAGGAGATCCTCATCCATCGGTCCAATGTCCTGAAGCCTGGGAGGGCTCTGCTATGACAGACCAGTGCTGCCGCTTGTGGGAGGGGAGCCACTTTCACTGACTTCCTCTGCTTCATGTTTCTTTTTCATGTTTAAATTCCGGTGGCTTGAAACAGCACACATATTCTTCCTCTTATCGCTAGTGCACACTCGTGTATTGAAGTTATTTTCCATCAAAGATCTTTCACACCAAGCATTTGTCTGTCTTCATGCGGCAGACGGCAGGACCTTTTGGAGCAGGCAGGTCTGAGGCTCCGGGGGTGCCCCTCAGCCTGCCGTTAACAGACAGACGGGCCATCCAAGCTGGTGGACATTGCAGCTGTGGTTGCTGCCCCCGCCCCGCAAGTCCACAGGGACCAGAATACCACCGCTCCTCTCTGCTTTCAGTGGTCAGGAGGGCCAGAGGGCCAGTGGGGACAGTGCCCAGGCACAGAAACGGCGACCCCAAGGGATAGCCACCCTCCCAGGCCCTCCAGGAGCAGGGGTCGTGCAGAGGGACACTTCCTGCCTGACCCAGGAAGAGATGTGGGGCCAGGGGCTTGGGGTCTGCGTCAAATCCACGGCTCTGCGCGGTGGGCTTCTAGCGGGCCGGGCGGGGGCGCGGCGGCCGGGCCTCGGGGCGCGGGCATCAAGGGGCACACTCTGCCAGAGCACGCATGCAGGGCGCCTCTGGGGCGAGCAGGCGGCTCTGGACGCGCCAACCACTTGCC